GGGGGCATAAGACTCCAAGTTCAAGCACCTAGGACCAGTATATATGCTCATGCATGTGAACACACACACACACACACACACACACACACACACACACACACACACACACAGCCTGAACAGGCCAGTGTTGACTAGGGATTGGGAGGAGACGGGAATGGGGAGAGGGAATCTCACAAGGAGGGCTGGGTGTGGCAGGGCACACACTTCCTCTCTGCACGTATGGAACCAACACATTGCATTCTACTTAATCATCTAATTAATATATGTCAATACTAATTTTAAAAGTCATCTCAACAAAGAACCCCACAAGGCTGTCATCACAGTTAAGTTTAAAAAAAGCAAAGGAAGCCGGTGGCTCACACTTATAATCTTAGCTACTCAAGAGACTGAGATCTGAGGATTAAGTTTCCAAGACAGCCCGTGAAGAGAAGTCCTCGAGACACTTAGCTCCAATTACCTATCAATTAACCATAAAAAAAAAAGCCAGATGGAGTTGTGACTCAAATGGTAGAGTGCTAGCCCTGAGCAAAAAGCTCAGGGACACAGAAGGTTGTAGGCAAGTAGATTGTGGTCTGAGATGGATACAGGCCAAAATAGGGCCAGGTTCTATTTGGAAAATAAAAGCAAAACAGCGTTGGGGGCGTGGCTCGGCTGCAGAGTGCCTGCCTAGAGAGCATGAGGCCCTGAGTTGAAACCCCAGTGCCACAAAAGCACCACAAGCAAGCAAGCAAAAGATTGTAACATTCAGGTCATTTCCTCCTCCAGACCTATTGTTTAGGACTGAACTGTTCTCTGCTGAGACTCTGTGTACACGGAAAAATAATCTTGGGAGTTATGAAAGCTTCCATCCCGGGTCTTTTCTAAGTCTAGGGGCCTCTTCTATCCTTAGAGGTCATCTGGATTTGCTATCTTTGATTATACTCTCTGTGGATAAACCGAGGCAGATCTCTGGGTCTCTGCCCGACTGCTAACTTCCCTATTTTTAAACATGAGCAGCAACCAGATGATCCACTTTTCAACCCGCAGCAAGAGAAACTCACAGAGGAAAAGCTGCCCCAATCCGGGATGTGTTTCAAGTGGTAAAGCTGAAATCTACACAGCTCTGGGGTGCTAAATGTCTCCATCTATAAAAAGAGATGGATGGTATTTCAGAAGAGAGCGGATAATTCAACACCATGAAGGGACCAGCTCCACACACTTGGCTGGGGCCATGCCAGGGAACGAAGAATGCTTCAGGGCCCAAGCCCTGCTTGGAACCAGCAGTGGAGCGGGGCAGAGCTGGGGCAGAGCCGGGGCGGGCCGGGGCAGGGCTGGGGCAGGGCTGGGGCAGAGCTGGGGCAGAGCCGGGGCGGGCTGGGGCAGAGCCGGGGCGGGCCGGGGCAGAGCCAGGGTGGGCCGGGGTGGGCCTCTAGGCACAGCCTCCATCGCTTCTCATGCCAGGTTCTGCTGCAGCTGCTTTAGGGGCTCCCCACAAGAAAGGGATTGGGGTAGGGGGAAAGGGGGTGTTGTAAGAGCAACATCTTGGGAACTTTTCCAATACCCAGTATGGCCTAGCTGAAAGGGGCCAGGGTTGGAGTGGTAGCAAGAAGGTCAACCGTGCGCCTTAAGAGAACCTAATCAAGGGCTCTGCTCCCTGGTCCCCCAAAAGGACACTCACCTTGCAAACAGTTATTCAAAAAACACAAATGATTATAAAGCCAAATGTCAAAGCAACAATGAGAAAGAGAAGCTCCCTTCAAATCTTGGCCTTGGCCATTCTGTGGGTGCTGCCCGCACTTGCACTCAGTCATTCTGATGGGTGCTGTACGCACTTCCTCCTCTCCTACTCAATCATGAGCACACAGTGTAACCTTCACAATCCAGTTATTCTAAGGTCCTGGAGTCGAACCCAGGGCCTTAGGAATGCGAACCACCTGCTGTACTATGGAGCTATGCCTTCAGTGTTTTCTGAAAGAGATAAAGTCTCTCAATGTTACGTGATCTTTCTTTAGTGATCTTCCTGCTTCTGCCTCCAGGAAGCTGGGACTGCAGGCATGTACCACCATACTCCAGTAAACTTCAGTTGTTAACGACACAGCTCAGCCCAGAGGTGAGAGCTTCTAGAGCAGAAGTGGACACAAGGGCCAGAGGTTTAACTACCAGGCAGGGCAGGATATTTGATCCTGAGGACCATGGTGTCAGGATGTCTGAGAAAAGTCTGGCTTCGCAGTGGAAGGAGCCAGGAAAACTACCAACAAGGAAACCCAGCTCTGCTGGAGGCCTGGGGAGGGCTGGGGAGAAGGCCGGAAGGACTGCAGTAGGAAGGGGAACCTCAAACCTCTGACGGCATCATCTGACTCAACATATCTGCAGCTTGGGGCAGAAATCCTGAAGTTCCTGGGGTCTGAAAAGATTCAGCAGAAATCGGTGTACACTCGCTTTATGAAAATGCTCTCCTAACTATGGTATGCTGAACTCACCTTGGGTGTAATTAGAAAACCCCAGCACCACTGACTGAAGATGAGCCTACCACCAAGCAAGAAACATCAGCCTATACAGAAAGGTCATGCCGGGTGCTGGTGGCTCACGCCTGTAATCCTAGCTACTCAGGAGACTGAGATCTGAGGATCATGGTTCAAAGCCAGCCTGGACGGAAGTGTGTGTGTGACTGTTGTCTCCAATGAACCCACAAAAAGCCAAAAGTGGGTGGAGGTATGGCTCAAGTGGTAGCCATGAGCAGCCTTAAGCAAAAAAAAAAAAAAATTTCAGCAAGATTGTGAGTTTTTGACTTCAAGCCCCAGTTCTGGAACAGAGAAAAAAGTATCTAAGGATAAGTCTTCATCAATGAGAGAAAAACAATCATCTGCACAAGTTTCTATAATGACATCCCAAGTTCAAATCCCAGTATCCTCTCAAAAACATTAAAAGAACTTATTAGCAACATAGTTGGAAAGATTAATATATAAAAAACCCTCTACATATTTGTGAAACAACCATCTATAAATAATCTCTTTCGTAGTAACAGCAAGAACTAAGAAGTAGCTAGGGCTACCTGTGGATGAAGTCTTTTTGAAGAAAACCACAGAACATTTCAGCATAGCATATGAGAAGATGCCCATTTTCTTCTCAAGTCCATGTACAACTCATATCCATGTGGAACAATCTAGAATGATGTAATGTTGAGCGATGAAATCAAGCTGAGAAAGGACTCACACTGTGCTGTAGTCCTCACATTTAAATACAGAAAAGGGAAAAATAGCTGACAAACCAATCACCCCACAGGGTTCTGCTCTATGTATATGGCGGACAGCTTTTAGGGGGACCACCAGGACCCTAGCTTCCTGGTGTTTAACTCATGTCTGCTTCTTCCATTTTATAGCTGCAGTCGCTATGGTGGCTCATCATGGCTAGGGTTAGGTTATAAAGGCTGTGGCTCTCTTGTCTTTCTCTGTCCAGTTCAGGCATACTCTTGGGCGACCAGGTGTCCAGTCCTTAGGATGTCTGGGAAGTGGTCATATTCTCATGACTGTGTATCGGATGCCAGTTGGTGACAGGTCATGAGGAGAACTTAAGCCAGAGCCACCAGCTCCACATGAGGAACCTAAGCAACTCCATTTCACTTAAGACCCCCATCTCAGTTCTGCAGCTTAACCCTTGACCCACGTCAGCCCCAAGGCTAGGAATTAGGACAGCAAGCCTTGCACAAGCAATTCTCGGAACCACAGATGGTGTTTTCTCAAGACAGCAGGGCAAGGTATCTGAAACTCCAGAGCTGCCCCTCCTGGGGTCTGGTGACCGTGGTCTAAGCCAGACACCCTGCAGTTTAGCTCGTCCTCCAGAACTGCCCCTCCTGGGGTCTGGCGACCATGATCTAAGCCAGACACCCTGCAGTTTAGCACCTATCCTCTTGAGACCCCCCGGTGGTGCAAGCCAACCAGTTTAAACTACATCAGCCCCCTTGATCTAACCAACAACTTGTTTCTGGTCCTTTCCCGCTTTATAGTGCGCCAATCATACTATAGAGTTGTTTTATGATTTTCCCGCGGTTTGTAGTCATTTGTTACAAGAAGTTATGATGTATGCAAAGCCCCTGCCTTCCCTAAAAAAGTGTATAAAAAGTGCTGTGACCCTGGGCTCGGGGCCTCTCAGCGTCATGGGCTGCTGCCAAGTACGCGGGGAGACCAAGCTTGAGCTTGCAAAAAAGACTCCTTTGCTTTTACATTGGTGACAGTCTGGTGGTCTTTTGGATAAGGATTTCCGAATTTGGCTTTACACACATGCCTCTATTCCTGACCTCCGGAAACCTCACCAGGGGCCTAAATCCATGGCCGCCAGAATCAATGGCTGCATAATTTGTGAGTTGTTTGGGGGACAGATACTATACAGCCATAGACCATGAAGAAGAAGTACCTTGGCTGAGGAAATCATCAAGTGCAGGGAACACATTTTCACCTTGTGATGAAGGTGATCTCAAGGACGAGGATGGGGCGTTAGTTATACTTGTTTTTATTCCTGAGACAAACTTTTCAAGAAAATAGGCCGAAATAACATCATTTCCTTTTCTCCCTCCTTCCTTCCCTCCCTCCCTCCCTCTCTCCCTCCCTCCCTTCTTTTCTTTCTTCCAATTTTATCCCAGGGCTTGAACTCAGGGCTTGGGTGCTGTCCCTGAGCTATTTTTTGCTCAAGGCTAGTGCTCTATCATTTATACTACAGCTCTACTTCCAGGTAACTGGAGACAAGAATCTCACAGGCTTTCTTGCCAATCATCATCCTCAGATCTCTGCCTCCTGAGTAGCTAGGATGACACGCATGAACCACTGGCATCCAGCTTCAGCATTTTTATATATGGATGTTATATAAGTATGCACAGTTGTGTACTTAGACACCTTGGATTGAAATATTATGTATATAAAAGACAGATTGAATCTTTCCCTATGTGGTAAAGTATAAGAGTTATTTACCTTGTGCTAGATATCACAAACAGTCTAGAGACTACTTAAGAACAAGAAGGATGAGCATGGGTTATAAACACAGAAGGGGCTTGGATGGACATCTGTGAATTTGGGAACCTACAAGGGCCTTAGAACCACTTCCTCAGTCACTAATTTAATTTGAAGAGTTTATTTATTACTTATAGCATTTTATAATTAAAAAAATGAAGACTTAGAAAAAAGGAACAAACCAGGGTCTGTTTTCACAGCTGGTAAAAATCAAGTGTTTTGGGGCTGGGAAGGTGGCTCAGTAGTAGAGCGCTTGCCTTGCATGCTTGAGGCCCTGGGTTTGATTCCTCAGCACCCCATAAGCAAAAAGAAAAAAGCCGGAGGTGGCGCCATGGCTCAAGTGGTAGAGTGCTAGCCTTGAGCTGAAGAGCTGAGGGACAGCACCCAAGCCCAGGGTTCAGGCCCCATGACCGGACCCTTCCCCCCCAAAAAAAAGAGCTAAAAATCAAGTGTTTTAAGTACCCAAACTTGAAATATATTTAACAAAATGGATAGCCAAAAAAGAAAGAATTCAAGATGTGATTGAAGAAAGCAGTGTTTCCTTGCCTGGATGCCCAATACCCAGCTGCTTAGGGATGTATGTTCATTACATTCTCCACAGTGAAAGACCATGGACCAGGTGACCGGCTGTTGCCATAGTAACCCTTGCCTTAATGGTATTTAACAAGAGAACAGAGATTATGGGCAAAATTGCTTTAGTTCTTAGAGTAAAATATTCACACTTGGGAAATACAGTGACATTTTAGGCCATTCAGTGTTATTTTCCACCAGAGAAAGGCCTTGTCAATAACAGCCTAACAGACTAGAAGAGTTAACCTACCCTGAAAAAGTAAGCATTCACTTATGTGAAGATTAAAAATGGGCCGGTTACTGGTGGCTCATGCCTGTAATCCTAACTACTCAGGAGGCTGAGATCTGAAGATCTCAGTTCAAAGCCAGCTCAGGCAGGAAGGTCCATGAGACTCTTATCTCCAATTAAGCACCAGAAAACTGGAAATGGCTCTATGGCTCAAGCGGTAGAGTGCTGGCCTTGTGCTGAAGAGCTCAAGGTCAGTGCCCAGGCCCAGAGTTCAAGCTCCACGACCGACATTAAAAAAAAAAAATTAAAAATGGGCCAAGTCTTAAAGATTTCCCAATGTGCTTACCACAAGAAGTCAAGGGAATCCACATCGATGTTTACAAGCTGTTTCACGCATGTGTGTTTGTGGGCATGGGTGGTGACGCCTAAACAGATTGAGTTGGCCTAAGAGTCCAGCTATGGTTTTTCCTCTTAATACCGTCCTCCTCCTGTCTTCCCTGTGTATGAGGCTCTGGATTGCATCTCTTAACATCCAAAGAATGAAACAAAATACAAATCTGGGGGGGCTGGTGGCTCACACCTGTAATCCTAGCTACTCAGGAGGCTGAGTTCTAAGGATCTCAGTTCAAAACTCGCCCAGATATGAAAGTCCATGAGACTCTTATTTTCAATTAGCCAGCAAAGAATCAAAAGTGGAGGTGTGGCTCAAGTGGTAGAGCACCTACCTGCAGTAGAAAAGTCAAGCAAGAACATAAGGCCCTGAGTCAAGACCCAGCATGGACAACACGCAAAGAGAAGCACAAAACCCAACAGCACTTCAACAGCAGTTGCCACACAGACCTTTCTATTATCGGTGTGGGAAGCCACGTCCAGCTTAACAGAAGACATTTGTAGAGACTAATGTTCCTAACCATTTGCCGTGTGTGAGCACAGGGCTAACTATGAGTCAGCTCACTACACTACCTCCCAACTTGTTTTATTGATAAGAGCCAATCACTTCCTTAGGCATAAGAGGAGAGATCTGGCAGCCAAGGAGCCTCTGCCATTGCTCCAGGCCGGAACACTTCCAGGCTGCCTCTGGCGCCGGCCTCCCCCCCCCCCCCCGCTTCTACTCTTACCTGAGCATGGGCTTAGAGCGAAGCCCAGTCTCTTCCGAGCTCTGTCAAAGACCACATAGAAGCCCTCCATCACTGTCGCCCCGATCACCAGCGCGTTGGTGGAAGGTGAGATGCCGAATCGGTAGCACTCATAATTCAGGCCAGCCCCCATCATGGGCTGAATGTAAAGCTGTTTAAGAGGAAAAGCATAAATCAGGCAAGATTGCAAAACACTGGAGATCACTGGCCTTGTCAGAGCTTTCCAGGGGCAGGGAGAAGAGGGCAATACCATCTCTGCCACGGAGGAGATTAGATCCAAAGTGTGACAGAGGTGATAAAAACATGGGACCACCACCTATACTTTACAGAGGATATATGGACAGACAGACAGGGTCTATCCTCCTGTCTGTGCATGGTCAAATGGGCGCCACAGATGAGCAGCACTTCCTGTGGGTGAGCAGGAAGCAAGCAGCTCCTTCCCGGAGAATAGTCCTGGAGGAATAACCGGCCATTGTGGGGCTGTGTGCAGCAACGTCTGTAGGCAAGGTGCCGTTCACCTCTGCCTTGGGTTCCTGGAATCCTGGCCGGAGCAGGACCTCAATGAGCTGTGTTTTAAATCAATCACTGCTAAGCTTGGAAGAGGGTGCATAGAAAAGATACAACTTTTTCTTTTTTTTGGTCGGTCATGGGGTTTGAAGTCTGGGCCTGGGCGCTGTCCCTAAGCTCTTCAGTGCTCTACCACTTAAGCCACAGCACTACTTCTGGTTTAGTTGAAGAGTCTCATGGATGTTCCTGCCCAGGCTGGCTTTGAACCTCGATCCTCAGATCTCAGCCTCCCGAGTAGCTAGGATTACAGGCACCAGCACCCAGCTAGACTTCTTTTGAAGACCCACTTAGGAAAGGTGGGGCTGGGCTTAGCTGCTACAGAGGCACCTATACTGAAGGTGTTTTTAGGTAGGGCCCAGGTATGCTCAAGTCCTCTCCCCTCCTCCAACTCTTTTTGAAGGAACTATTCCCAAGAGAAATCCAGTAATTGCTTATCAAATATGATGCAGTAGACACTGAAGCAAGCTATTAGTCAGTGAAGAGCAGACAAACAGAATCTGTATCTTTCAGTTTGTGTCCAGGAATCTCCAGCAAGAATTCCAGACTAAACTTGAGTGTGTGTGTGTGTGTGTGTGTGTGTGTGTGTGCGCGCGCGCAAACGTGCGCAGGTACAGGGGCTTGAACTCAGGGCCTGCACACTGTCCCTTAGCTTATTTGCTGAATGGTAGTGTTCTATCACTTAAGCCATAGCTTCACATCTGGCTTTTTGTTTTTGTTAATTAATTAGAGATGTGAGTCTCATGGACTTTCCTGCTTGGGATGACTTCAAACCAGGATCCTTAGGTCTCAGCCACCTGGGTAGCTAGGATTACAGGCATGTGCCACTGGTGCCCAGCCTAGACCATACATTTGAAAACACATTAGAATATTCCCTCTTGCTGGGTCTCAGAATAGTGGTATTTTGACAGGTAGTAAGCATTTTTAAGGTTATGTGAAAAGTAAAATCACAATTCCCTGTGGGCGGAAGCTCTGTCTGCTTAAAAAAAACACAAAAATACAAAAGACAACAAACACAAAACACAAAACAGAGCTGGGTGCCAGTGGCCCACGCCTGTAATCCTAGCTACTTAGGAAGCTGAGATCTCGGTTCAAAGACAGCCCAGGAAGGAAAGTCCACCAGACTCTCATCTCCAATAAACTACTCAGTGGTACAGTGCTAACCTTGAGCACAAAGAGGCTCAGGAACAGCACCCAGGTCCTGAAATAAAAGAAAAGAAAAGTCAAGCCAAAAAGGTTCAATACTTGTGATTTTGGAAAATGTAATATGTTGAAAATAAGCAAAACTTAAGATACTTGGCCTTTGACCTTTCATCTGCACTAGTGATCATTTGCCTGTTGGTTATGGCTGGTGATCTTGGTGATAATGTTCATCCTTGATATTAAGAAGGGGGATGCAGTGCGGGCAGGCAGAGCCTCACTGCCAGGAAATGACTCCACAGCGCCACCACTGACAGGATCAGGAAGTGCCGGTCCTGGGACCTCCGGCTTTCTTTGCCATTCTCCTCAGCAGGGCTAAGCAAGGCAAATGGAATGGTGATGTGCATAAGGAACTTGGAAAAGTGGTCCAGAAAACAGAACTATAAAACAAACATGCAAGCTGGGTGCAAGTGGCTCAGGCCTGTAAGCCTAGCTGCTCAAGAGGCTGAGATCCGAGGATGAGGATCAGAGTTTGAAGCCAGCCCAGGCAGGAAAGTCCATGAGACTCACATCTCCAACTAACCGCTAAAAAGCCTGAATTGGAGCTGTCGCTCAACTGGTAAAGCACTAGCCTTGAGCACAAAAGCTCAGGGGCAGTGCCCAGGCCCTGCGTTCAAGTCCCAAGACCAGCACATGCACTCATGCACATCCACACAACACACACTAAATCAAACATGTAAATGTGTCAAAGTCATAGTAAGAGTTATAAGGAATTCTTCCACAGAGATAGGCCAATGAAGTGAAATGCCCACAGACTTCCCCGTGGTACCCTGGGGTCATCCAGGCCTAACAGCAGCTGAAAATCCCCTGTGCAACTTTAGCTCTGATGGCCCTTATCGGCCCTGGACAGAGAGATGGTCTTTTCCCCTCTGAATTTCCACTTTTTCCTCCTGTGTCTCATGAATCTCTGTCTCTGTCAGCCAACCCCCACAGCACTAGTGTACCAGTAAGTGCTTACACCCCCGTGCCCTCAGACGGGTCACTAAGCCTGGTTACAAACCACGGTGATAGAACAATGTCCCCATGCTGCTGTTAACTGAACAAAGTGTCATTAAAATCATATTATATGAAAGAATTTGACAATTTATCATTCTAATATTACTTTCTGTAGTGATCCAGGGTTAGTACCTTCTTCTGAAAATGTCTTTGGCAAGAATGATTCTTTCTCCCTTATAGCAAGAGAGATGAGTACAGAAAGGGCCACTGGATTTGTTCAAAGTGGTCTCGGGAGCCCAGGGCAGGTGCATTGGTCACAGCATGTCCTCTGAGAAGCTGTGTTTTCCTTCAAATTCTTAATCCTTGCCTGCTAAGGCCTCTCTGTTTCTCAAATGTGTAAAGGGGGAGGTATTAACATGACTCTTCTCATCTACAATTGTTCTCCCTGGAAGCAGAGGTATGGCTCAAGTGGTAGAGTGTCAGCCTTGAGAGAAAAAGCCAAGAAAGAGCACAAGGCCCTGAGTTCCAGCCTCACTACCAACACACACACACACACACACACACAGACACACACACACAGATACACACACACACAGAGACACACACACACAGACACACACAGACACAAACACACACACACACACAGAGACACACACGCACAGACACAGACACACACAGACACACACATACACACACAGAGACACACACAGACACAAACACACACACACAGAGACACACAGACACAGACATACACACACACAGAGACACACACACAGACACAGACACACACAGAAACACACACACACACACTCGAACACTAGACTTTCATACACAGTGAGACCAAAGGAGGAGGCTCTCAGGAGAGGAACACAAAGGTGTAATACCTATGTGCATCTGATCATATAAAATAATATTTATTGAAATGAAAAAGGAAAGAGGAAAGGGACGAGAGCCCTGTGGTGGCTGTAGAGGGAGCAGCGTGTGAGGCCCAGGTGAGGACGGAGGGCCTGGGACCAGATGGCTGAGGGAAACAGACCCTGGTCTATTCGGGTGGAGTCTTAGGATACAGGAGGCACTGTCGATACTGGTGTTACCAGAATATGATACATTTACCCCCAACTATCCATCCTCACCCATCCTCAGGGTCTGTGCCCTCTCAGTGTGGCCCCCGGAGCTTCCCCATTGCCAGGAGAGAGACGGTGTCTGAACCCCCGAGCTGGGCTGGCCGTGGGCTCTTCTGGAGGGCCTACAGTGTTGGCAAGGCACCAGCTCTGGGCAGGGCAGGACTCGGGTGTCCCCTCGGAGGTGCTTCCCTCTTTTAGAACCCTGTTGTCACATGACCAGCCTGACCTCTGGAAATGGGAAGGAGGCCCAGCCCACCGTCAGCTGGTCAGAGAACCATGTGAGCTGGTCTGGCGAAGCAGGGCATTAGCCAGTCCTGACAGGGCCCTGGTGGTGGGGTCTGTGGCCTCGGCTGTCTGAGCAGGCGTGGTACCCGCAGGCCACCCGCGATGGGCACTGGTCTCACCTGTGCGGCTTCGTGCACCGAGGGCCTACCTGCGGCAGGATGGTGATCCGGAAGGACTGGCTGGAGTTCTCCTCCCGCAGGTAGATGGAGATCTTGGGGAAATAGGACCAAGGGGTTTCCGAATTCGTCCAGCATGCCAGCTGGGCCCCGGTCCAAAAGCCGTCCGAGAATTCTGGAATCTAGACAAAACAAGATCTTGTGAAAAGCAACCGCCAGTCTGGCACGAAAACAGGAAATAGCTCTGGGCTCGCCCGGCGCCCTCACCAGATGCCCACAGGGATGAACAGCGTTTCCTTTGGGTATCAGTCCCTGGGAGAGGAACGAGGTGCACAAAACACGAACGACAAAAATCGCTGAGGCACACCGGGTGTGGGGTGCTGTGGGGAGCGCGTGGGGCGCGTGGGGCCCCAGCGGCACGGCATGGGGCCAGGGTGGTAACATCATGCCTGCCCTTAACAGACGAGGAAACCAGACGCAGAAGGGCGAGCCCACTTCTCCCTCCCTCCCAACCATCCCCCTCTCTTCATCCCGCCCTCCCTACCCGTCTTTCTGTTTCTCTTCTCTCCCTCCTTCCCTCCCTCCTTCTCTCTTTCCCTCCCTCCTTCCTTCCTTCCTTCCTCTCTCTCTCTTTCTTTCTTTCTTTTCCTTCTTTCCTTCCTTCTTTCCCTTCCTTCCTTCTTTCTTTCCTTCCTTCCTTCTTTTCTTTCCATCCTGAGACTTGAACTCAGGGCCTGGACACTGAGCTTTTGTGCTCAGGGCTAGTGCTGTACCAGTTGAGCCACAGTCCCACTTCCAGTTTTTGTTTTTGGTAATTAACTGGAAATAAGAGTTTCACAAGGTTTTCCTGCCAGGCTGGCTTTGAAGTGGGAATCCTCAGATCTCAGCCTCCCGAGCAGCTAGGATTGCAGGTGTGAGGCTCCAGCACCTGGCTCTACTTCTCTCTTTAATTAGAAAGGAAATGCAGAGTGTCCCCCGCCAGCCCTGCAGGTAGAAGGAGCAGAGCAGACTTCCACACTTGGAGGAGGCTCAGGGTTGCCTGCAGGAGGCACAGCACTGTGGGTCACTTCTTCCTGACGCAGGCTCGAAATGCAATCATGGAGTAATTATAGATCAGGCACACAAGTGTCATCAGCTCCTTCCTGCTGCCTTGGGCTTTTCTTAAGTCATTCGCTGCTGAATGCATGCGGAGATGAGCTCAAGTGTGGTGCCTTGGCCCGGTGCCAGCTGCCTGCGCAGGACGCGGCCCAGGCCTGGCGGGAGCTGGCAGCACACCTCACACTCTTGGACAATATTTACAGTTCAGAGCGTTTCAGAGTATAGCTGGCTACTCGTGCCAATTCTGCAGAACTTACTACTTCAGAAACAGGCGTAAGGTGGGTGCCAGAGGCTCATGCCTATAATCTCAGCCATCCAGGAGGCTGAGATCCAGAGGGCTGCAGTGGGAAGCCAGCCCAGGCACAAAAAGTCTGGGACTTTAAACTAGCAAAAGTCAGGCTGGAGGTCTGGCTCACCTCCAGGCACCAGCCAGACAAGCGAGTGGAGCGGGAGGCATTTCAACAAGTATTACAGTTTCATGGTGTTGAGAGGCTGAGCTGGCACTGGGAAAACCAGGTCAATGCTCTGTTTTTGGCCTGTGACCCTGGACACAGCTTCATGTACATCCTGGTCATTCTGCTCTGCAGGCTGCTGACTGGCTGACTGCTCTTTACTTCTTGAGGTTTTTGGTTGGGGTCATCTAAAGCTCCCTCTCTGCTGCCATCTCTATCCAAGCCACATCTCTCCACCCTCTCTCCCCGTCAGCCATCTTTGGGCCAGCAGACCACCAGCCCCTGTGGGCGCCACCCAGACCTCGTAGGAAACCCTGGCAAAGCCACCAGAGTGCATAGATACCTTGCAACCATTTACCAAGTCAAAAGAAATGTTTATCTGGTACCTCCAACAGGAGTAGCACTGTGTTTGCAATTCAAACAGAAGCTCCTGATTGTCAAGTGCCTGCCAGAAACTAGCTTGGGCCATTTCACGCCAAACCCTCTCAGGGATAGTTTAACTGCTATGTCCAGCTTGGAGGAAGGTTTGATGAAGGGCTGGATGGTTTTGTTTTCAAGGTCATCAATGCACTCCCCGCCCCCCTCAGAGCCTCACATTCTGGCTTGCGTTTTCTGCCAAAGGCTGGTGCTCTAACACTAAAGCTACACCTTCACGTCTGGCTTTTTTGTGGTTAGATGGAGATAAGAACTTTTCCAGGCTGGCTTCGAACTGTGATCCTCAGATCTCAGCTTCCTGAGTGGCTAAGATGACAGGGTGTAAGCCACCGGCACCTGGCGTGTAACTACAATTTTACTGGTGATTACATTTACCTCAGATAAACACTGCTACAACAATGGAACTGTTATTTGAAATAACAATAATTTCGGCCCACTCAGAGCCCAGCCCTCTGAGTGGAAAAGAAAAACATTTATTACAAGTGCACATCTAATGCTAAGCTTGTGGCACCATTAACACTGAAAAAATCCCACCAAAATGTTCAGAGTTGCTGAAAACATGCAGTGCTGCTCCCAGGGTGGGATCCAAGCCACTGTGCTGGAAGCTTCCAGAACAGCCGGAGAACTTACCAGGGATGTGCGGGCCACGGCTTCCACCACGGCATCAAACACCTTCTGGGGCAGGCGCAGCAGCGTGGTGCCGCTGTCCACAATGGCCTTGTCTGCGTTGTACTGGAATGGGGAGGGGACGGCCCTGAGCGCCCCTGTACCCCCTTCCACGTCCACCCCCACCGCCCTTGGCACACCTGTCCTGTACACGCTCAAGCCTGTGGGGGCTGGCAGGCAGCCACAGGACTCGGAGACAATGTCCACAAATGAGGAGCTGAGGCTCAGGGGTCGGAGGGCCATGGCCCAGTCCCCAGCTGTCCCCAGCCAGAGCCCTGGGCCACCCTGATGTCACCCGCGCTCCCTGGCCCAGGACAACAGAAGGCCCGCTGTCTTCAGGGCCTAATGACACACAGAGCCAACTTACACATGGCACAAACCCAGCGTCTCCTGACTTCCCAGTGGGGAAGATGGGGGGACTGTTTATCCCACCTATACACACGGGCCTGCGCCGCCTTGCATCATGAACCCCTGATTTACCCGCAATGGAGCACTTGTGTGCCAGCCAGGAAGCGGGAGCACTGGCTCAGGCGGGCAGGTGGGCAGGCAGGCAGACAGGCCGACAGACAGACAGACAGGCAGGCAGGCAGGCAGGCATACAGACAGGCGGGTGGGCAGGCAGGCAGGCAGGCAGAAAGACAGGCAAGCAGGCAGGCAGACAGAGAGGTGGACAGGCAGGCAGGCAGGCAGAAAGACAGGCAGACAGGAAGGTGGATAGGCAGACAGGCAGGCAAGCAGACAGGCAGGCAGGTGGACAGGCAGGCTGGCAGGCAGGCGCAGACAGGTAGATAGGTGGACAGGCGGACAGACTGGTAGGCAGGCAGGCAGGCAGGCAGGCAGGTAGGTGGACAGGCAGACAGACAGGCAGTGACCACACACGCACCTCCCGGCAGTCCAGGTTAAGGCTCTGGCCTCCAATTTCCAGTTTCAGAATCTCTATTTGGTAGTACCACTCCTCCTTGATGGGGGTATACCAGATGTCTCCTTTATATAAACTTGGTTCAATCCCACCCAGGACCTGGGGAGATACACGGTCATGGTGTTAAGAGGATGAGCCCACAGACGGTCACGTTTCCACTGAGAGGCTGGTGCTCCTAGGAAGGACTTCCTTGGGACCAGGATGTTGACCTTTTTGTGATGTGAAGTAAATCAAGGTGCCTAGAAATTCCCTGTTCAGGTAACATGGGAGTGGGGGCAGTCTCCAGGGGTCACACAAGACTATGCCCTGTTCTACCCAATATCAAACTCCAGCTTCTTGCCATTGAAACTCCCTTGACAAATGCAATACAATAAGTAGCGATGCTGGCTCACCGTCCTTTAGCTCCTGGGGAGAGCAGAGGAGGGCAAAGTGATGGAAGAGCTTCCCTGGTCAAAGCATCACCTTGCAAGACTGGACCATGCAACAGACCCCAGGCTACTCTATCCCCTCAGAAAGGGACCAAAGCAAATGTGAGCAGGTGACAGTGGCCGAGGAAGAGGCTACTGAACCTGTACCTCATTCAGAGCCCAGGGTAGCCACGCTCAGCTGGGATGGGCACTTCCTGAGCCTGTCCCCTCCACCTGAGATGCTCACTGCAGGGTTTACGAGGGGAAGTTTAGGACACAGACAGAGGGCTCTGTTTCACGTGGTATGCGTGTGTACATTTGGGGGTGGGAGAGAAGAGGAAGAGGAAGGACAGACACGTACACCTGTCTCCCTTCAAGTATGTAGTCTGATAAACTAACCTCCACCTGTCTCTGTTCCCCCTGCTCCTCCCCGCCATGGAAAGCCTGCCACTTCCGAAGGACTGTAAAGATGATTGAGTGACATCTGGAAAAGCAACCAGAATCAGGTGCCTAGATGGCAGGATGGTTGGGAAAGGGGAAAAAACAATACCCCACGTGACCAGCCGTTTGGAAGGCTGTGTAACAAAGGTCATGACACGAGAGTACCCGGGCCTGACGATGCAGCTTTGAAAATGAAACAGAAGTCACCCCACCAAACTGATTTTGTTTTTCATCCCTTTAAGACGGAAAGATACCCACAAGACTACCTCCGTTGGTACCAGATCCGGCCACTGGCAATCCAACCCCGCACATCTGCATGGAGAAAACGTCGGGGATCTTCGCTTGGGCCACCAGGGAATCAAAGAAGGTTTCCAGCGAACTTGACGGCTGCAGCGGGGTGGAGAGGAGAGCTGCATGGAGACTCACGGGCAGATGGGACCAGCATTGAGGATGGGGCATTTTCTATTCAGTGTCTTCCGGGCTAAACAAACCCCGGCAGAAGTAGCCTCTGAAGGCCTCGCCCAGCCTTTCCTCATGGCACTGCTGTGTTTAGGGGCAGATCGCTGTCATGCTCCTCAGCATCTCAGTATAGTGGGAACCATGGAAGCGGATCTGGGTTCTGATCTCAGACAGCCACCCATCATGTGGAAGAGGGCCGACTGACCAGGGGACATGCGTGCCATCCTGGGTCACTGTGAGGCCAGGCTCTGTCAGCTGGACCCCAGCTGTTCGGGAAAGCACAGAACTGATGAGTTTTTAAGAGTCTGGATATTCCTCCAGGTGCCACTGGCACGTGCTTGTAATCTTCCTAGCTACTCAGCAGGCTGGGCAAGAAAGTTCGCGAGACTCTTATCTCCAATTAACTACCAAAAACTCTAGAAGTGGAGCTGTAGCTCACATTAGAGGGTGCTAGCCATGAGTGAAAAGGCTTAGGGAATAGCACCTAGACCTGAGTTCAAGCCCTGGGATTGGCGTGTGCGCGCGCGTGCGCACACACACACAGACACACAGACACACACACACAGACACAGTCACACAGACACAGACACACAGACACACATACAGAGACACAGACACAGACACACACACACACACAGAGACACACACAGACACAGACACACACACACACACACACAGTTACACAGACACAGACACACAGACACACACCTGCAAAGTAAAATGCCCCTTTGGTTTTCTGATGCAGTTTGGAAGGAAGCATCCAGGACCATCTGGGGCCACCCCATACTGAGGGCTCGGCCACCCTGGGTCTGAGACACAGCGTTTCTCCCCCCCCCCCCGCCCCAGGCAGACCCTTTCAGACTCAGCCCGCTGCCCACAGTCTGCCGGCTGGCTCCGGTGGGGAGCTCACGTGAAGTCAGCTGTTAGTCATGCAACTGCACAGATGAGAAGCACATGGTCATGTGGAGAGTCTGGCCAGCCTCCAGAACCCCCAACTAGCTCATTTTCACAGATGCTTCACACGTTACAACTCCAGATAAGCCAGGCTTGGTCGATCATCATCAGAAGAATGAGCCAGGCTTGGTCGATCATCATCAGAAGAATGAGCAATCCATCAACTTCAGCTTCTCCCATCGTTCCTGCCCAAACAGTCCCCCCACGCACGACATTTCACCCACAGGCACCAAGGAATGTAAGCTTCTTGCCCAGCTGTGAATGTCTTAAGCTCGCCCACGGTGCCCAGGACAAAGAAGCTCTTCACCGTGTCCCAGCAAAGGGGCCCTGTGTTCTCACTGGAACGCTCGAGTCCCCAGGGTGTGGCCTTCTCAGGTACGCCTGGTGAAAACTCTTTCTCCCTGAGAAGCGGGGAGGGGAGCTAACAGCCTGAGGTGACCATCTGCCACACAGGGTGGGCGAACAGCTCTTCCTCTGGGATCCTCCTGGACCAACAGGGTCATTGTCGCTACAGCTGCACTTTCTTCCATGCTGGGCTCGGACTCAAAGCAGAGGGCTGACCCAGGAAGCCAGGGAGAGGCCCCTCTGCTTTTATTAGGACCTGTCTCCTGGAACCGGTGCACCCATGGTCTAACCTGCCTGCTGTTCCGCCTGCAAATCCCCTGCCTGGACCATTCTTTGGCACACCAAGTACAAATATTCAGGGAACTCCAATCTTCCTTACCACACTTTGGAGGGTGAGCATGTTGCAGAGAGAGAGAGAGAGAGAGAGAGAGAGAGAGAGAGAGAGAGAGAGAGAGAGAGAGCGCCCCTACCACTTCTCCTCAGTTCAGTTCTGCTTGGCAGGCTACAGCCTACAGGCTACAGGACACTTGGTCAGGATCTGTGACAGGTGCCTCCTTGGAGGAGCCTGGGGTGGCCTGAGAATGGCTTGGTGTTCTTGGCCTGGGGAGGGCATCTCTGCTGCTGGTGGCCCAGCGTCTCTAGATGTCCTCTAGATGTCTTCATGGACACCTGACCCCTTCACGCAGGGTTTCCTCTGCACCCCACGTGAGTCCACACTCCCAGGCAGACTCCCAAATCAGCGCAACTTAGGTGCTGAATGAACACTTCTGGGCTACAGAACTAAAATGAACAAGACCAAGAAAACCAACCAAGTGAATGCCTCATTTTCTAGGAAGGTTCAAAGAATTGCACCAATTATCCTAAGTTGCAAAAAATGCCTAGAAATGTCTGTGAACGGAGATGTTTGTTGCTTGATTTGTGTTGAACCATGGGCTTGAGCGCAGGGCCTGGACACTGTCCCTGAGATTTTTGCTTGTGACTGGTGTTCTACCACTTGAGTCACACCTCCACTTCTGACTTTTTGGTGGTTAACTGGAGATAAGAGGCTCACAGACTTTCTTGCTGGGGCTGGCTTTGAACCCCAATCCTCAGATCACAGCCTCCTGCATAGCTAGGATTATAGGCATGAGCCAGTGGTGCCCAGCTTGTGGTCTGTTTTGACCACATAATTCTCAGCAGGCAGAGCAGCCTCTCACACGGGAGATTTTCATAGTCAGATCCCTTGATTTGATGAAGCCATCTTACCTTGGCCAGGGTGGCGTAGGCAAGCCCCAGGATTCCATTCCACTTAATCCCCGGCAAAAAGAAATTCTCAGACTCAAAAATAGTGGCAATGTTGACAAGAAAAGAACTGTTGAAGCCTTTGGGGATGGTGACCAGGTCCTCTCCCACCACACCTGTCCAGCTGCCTTGAGTGTACTTTACAGTGACGTCAAAACCCTTGGAGCGGTATGTGCTGGACCTGTGAATGCAGGGGAAACGTCCATCAATAATTCTGTGCACAAATTCACATTTTCTGTTTTCTTGCAGTGCTGGGGATCGAACCCGGGACCGTGTGCATGCTAAGCAAGGACTCTACCACTGAGCTACACGCCCAGAACCTAGAGCCTATGCTCTATAAACCATTAACATTGATACTGGTCACCACAGGGATACAGCTGCCCTAGCACCGTCTCTGTGAGCCAGTCTTATTGGCCAGCCGTGTCCATGCTGACATGGTGGCTCTGGTCCCTGGACTGGCAACAAGCTTTTAATGCCAGCGGATGGGATTATGCATATGGGCCCAGCCCAGTGGCTCACAGGCATCACTTAACCATATTAGTCTGTGAAGGACATGTCAGATCTGGGTAGTGCTGGTCCTCGGCCTTTACAAGGACCCTGGGCGATAGCTCTGACACAAGGAGAGCCCAGAACGAGGCCCCACCAGCTTGACTCGACTGCAACTGGGACTCACCGACACACAGATGACACCTGTGACGAGTAAAAAGCAAGTCCCTCCCCTCCCCCGAGCTCAGGTCCTTTCTCCTCTTCACAGCTCAGTTACTCAGCAGCTTGTAACTCTGAAGGTATGTTACTGACAATATCACAGACAAGGTCACAGACAAGGTCAGGCAATAAGCAGGCGGGTGAAGCCTGCCCTCTTCAGGTTTGCATGTGAATTCGTAACATTCCGGGCAGGGAGCCAGGTGCCAGTGTCTACTAGGGAGGCTGAAATCTGAGGACTGTGCCTAGCCAGCAGTCTGTGAGACTTTTTTTTTTGGGGGGGGGAGGTCGTGGGGCTTGAACTCTGCACTTGGGTGCTGTCTTTACGCTCTTCAGTTCAAGGCGAGCGCTCTACTGCTAAAGCCACAGTGCCACTTCTGGTTTTCTAGTGGTTTCTTGGAGATCAGAGTCTCATGGACTTTCCTGCCTGGGCTGGCTTTGAACCACGATCCTCAGATCTCAGCCTCCCGAGTAGCTAGGATTACAGGCGTGAGCCACCGGCGCCTGGCTTCTGTGAGACTCTTATACCCAATTAACCAGCAAAAAGCTGGAAGTGGAGCTGTGGCTCAAGTGACAGAAGACTAGCCTTTAGCAAAAAGAGCTAAGGGATGGTGCCCAGGCCCTGAATTCAAGTCCTAGTATGGGCACATGCACACATACACGCAATGATGACTGAGTTAGAACTACCCAGCGAATAAGGGTGGGTTAAGAGGTTGATCTCATAGGTAGTCATCTGCTTGAGACCTGAAAATCTCTGAGGAGAAACATCCTGGAAAAAAGAAAGTGTCAAGGTCCTGGGGTCTCCAACTGATCAGGTCATTCTTATACCTATGTGAGTTTGAAAACTTTGCTAGGCTACAGGATGGGACCCAAGAAACAATTATTGTCAGTGTCTGGATTTTCAAACCAGCCTCACCTAAGAAAATAATCAAATTCATAGGCCATGGTCAAATGATCAACTGGGTCTGAACTCATGGACTTGCATTTACATCGTTTTAATACTAAGTTTGTGTCACATTAACAGAAATTAGTAAGTCTCTGCAGGAATCTGGAACGAGTGCATTTGTGTTTGTGGTTGTGGAGGAAGTTATATCTGAGATGATTTGACTTTTTTCTTCTGTCCTTATTGTTGGCACAGTGCATAGCCTTTGGAAATGTCAACTGTCTTCAACTCATTAATTGTTCTTCTGAGAATCAGATCCTGAGGATGCATGCGGATAGAAGTTCAAGTACAAAAACAGTCATTACATCTTACTTGCAACCGCAAACCTTTGGAAACAACCTGAATGTCCAGTCAAAAGGAAGCCATTGAGCAAATTGTGGTAAAAGTCAAGATGACAGATTCAGTCTGCAGCAATGGGGTTTTACTAAAGCATTTTAAATAACAGGGGAAAAAACCGAGTCAGCAATTTGGACCTACAACAAAAAAACTACTCAACACTTACTGTAGTTACGTATTAGTAGTGGCTACCCTGATAGGAGTTCCTGACATCGATGTGTTCGACATCTAAGGTTGCCACACGCCACCCACCAGTGGCTCACGCCTGTAATCCTGCTACTCAGGAGGCTGGGAGCTGAGGGTTGCATTCAAAGCCAGCCTAGGCAGGAAAGTCTGTGAGACACTTATCTTCAATTAACCACTAAAAAGCCAGAAGCAGAGTTGTCAAGTGGTAGAAGCTCCAGTCTTGAAATAAAGCTCTGGGACAGTACCCAGGCCCTGAGTTCAAGCCCCAGTAGTGGCACGTGTGCGTACACACACAAATATGGTAGTCACATGTCGTGAACTCTTAGAATGCAATGGTGTAACAACAGAACTGAGCTGTTACTTGGTATTAATTAATTTAAATCGCTACCTGAGATCAGTAGCCTCCCTTGTCTAAGACAATGGGGAAGAAAACAATTGTAAGCTCCTCATCTCCAGATTTCTTTTACGAAACCTCAGATTAAAACTCCCAGAGAAGAATTCTAAGCAACTCTGTGGGTTGTTAGCTTATACCTTCCAGAACTTTAACAAAATCCTTCATCTTCATTTTCTAACATTCTGTATCTTGGCCGTCGATGCTTTGATCCTCTACTTCCCTGCACATTAATTAGATATACGGAGAGAGACACCGGATGGCTTCTCATTTGCAATGTCCATTCCAAGAGCTCAGAAACAGCCATCAACCAGGGATGCAGGGGTCCAGGAAAGAAAGCCTGCTTAGCAACAGCAATACAAACACTTTGAATCAAATTCACAAAATGTTCTTCCTCTAATGAGAGAGTTCTGGGGCTGAAATGTGAAATCATGGAAGAGGAAGAGGGTTGCAGGAAAGCCTACCAAAGGAGAGAAGGAAAGGGCAGATTAAAGGCGTCTGTCCTTGGGTGAGAACGTGGCAGGGTTCAGAATCTGCCTGACCAGGTAATCGGTGATCCCTCTCACTCTTCTGTGGCTCTAGAAGTCACCAGAACTGAATGGGCAGGGTCCTTGAGACCCAGCCTGGTGCTTCATTAATGTCCTCAGCAAGGGCAAATACTCAAGGCCCCAAACCAGCCAGGCCCCTTCTGCACAGGTCCACAAGGACCAGGCTTGGGACACTGACCATTTGAACAATGGACAAGATCCTTCACCAGTACATGAAAGACATTTGCTAAGTATCCAGCCTGATCTCCTTAAAAAGTCACCAGGCTCGGGGTGCAGGTGGCTCACCCCTGCAATCCTAGCTACTCCAGAGCCTGAGATCTGAGGATCAAGGTTTGCAGACAGCAGGGGCAGACAAATCTGCAAGACACTTATCTCCAATGAACTAGCAAAACAGAAACAAAAACCTGAAGGGAAGGTGTGGGTCAAGTGGTAGAGCACCAGCCTTGAGTGGAAAGTTATGCCAGAGTGCAAGGCCCCAAGTTCAAGAATGCCAGGTAAGACTTCAGCTTCCTAATTCCACTTACAAGGTTCACCCCAGGTGGATTACAGGAATGGCATTTTAACTATAAGCTTAGTTTTCCAAATAACAGAGTCAAAGGACTCATAGAACCTATCTATGTTTTAAGACAAGCTAAATGATCGGAGGTAATTTTTTGGCTACAAAATCACAAAACCTACTTCTCTTAAGTGCATGCAACAGACACAGAAACAGCCAAGTTCACTGAAGAGCAAACATCTTATTCCTATGAGTCATTAAAGGATATTAAAGCAACTTTTCCAGGATACACTAAGTATTAAAGTAAAACACTGCACCTAAAGGGCAGCTGTGACCAGTCTGTTACCACTTAAAGGAGAAGATAGACAGATACAGGTTGCTAGCTTTACTACAGCTATCCACCTAGAATGCTTACTGCTTACTGGTTTTTAATTCCTTTATAAAATCCTATTAGCTATACATATAGGAAACAGTTTACTTTAAAGGGTGGTGGTTTTCACTAATATCTTTTTTTTTACATTATGTTTTTATTATCTTTCTCTCCCCAGCCCTTCTTCTTCTTATAGTTAAAAGAATAACTTGATGTGTTCTGGTTCTGATCCTCTTCTGGTCTTGATCATGAATACAGATCAACTGAATTTTCTGTCCTTTTTTTTTTTTTCAGGTAGGTTCAACTAGCTACCCTGAGCAGAAATAGCTCCAAAAGACAGACCATTGCCCTCTGCACCCCTTTTAACATGAAAAGGGGTCAATGTCATTTAGGAGGGAAATAAAGTAGGCTAGATAAACAAGGAAAACAGGGAAACTATGTATATGTATATATACAGATATATATACAGATATATCTGTATATATACATATAAACAAATATCAAAAGAGCCAGACTCTGAAGTAAATTTAAAGAAAAACAACAACAATATAAACTAGGAAGTAAAGTGAAAGACAGATAAGCTCTTCTTGCTCAAGACTTCCTTTCTAATGTTTAGTTAAGCGAGTAGGAGATATGGGAAGGGCTACTTGACTCTGCCTTCTTTGAAATGGTAAATATCTGAGAATTATTCCTCAATGGGTAGACAGAATGAACAGACAGCTAGGGCAACAGGAAGCCCCGGATATTACACCTGAGTTTTGGGTCAGCCTCAGCCATCTCTCCCACTGGATGTGACCCGGGTATGGGTTCAGCCCAGAAAGCATAAAGGTTACAGATAAGAACCTCCCTTTTGAGTCTTTAACTTTTAGTTCCTGGATGGGAAGCAGGATGTTTCTCTCTCATTTCCATTTCTCCATCCCTGAACCCTGTAATACTAAAACAAATCGTTGTCAAAACTTTCCCCAAAAATGCAACCAGTCCCCCCCTCCCCCTTTGTCTAGTAACTGGCTGGGACATTGACCCCAGTGAAAAGATGGCTCTAATGGAGCCCAGCTCCAGAAAGACTCAGCGTGGCCCGGTGTGTCCTCCTGTTACTCAAGGAGATCCTGTCAAAGAACCCGAGCTAAATCTCCAATTACTGTGCAATGCGTCAGGAAGCACTACACCTGAATATCCAAATATCAAGCCTGCAGACTTCAATCAGAGCCTGGTGGGCCAACCAGAAAGCTTATTATAACTGAGAGAGATCAGAGGCCCAAGCAGATAGCAAGGCATCACAGGACAGGAAGCCACATCTCACAAAAGGTAACTTTTGTCAAAAATTGAGAGGCAAGAGAACATTCTCAGCTTCTGTCAAATTCAGTGGTTCAGATTATACCCTAGTAGATGCTCAAGTCATCTGAAGGTATCTGATACAATTTACATCGAGAGCAAGCATTTACATCTTTGCGATAATAATTCAATGTTGACTATAAGCCCAGATGAGATGGGAGGGTGGTAAAATATGAGAGAGAGAGAGAGAGAGAGAGAGAGGTTTCTTTACATTTCAGTAATGGTGCTAGGTGCCTGAGTCTCACAACTGTAATCCTAGCTATTCAGGAGTCTGAGATCCCAGGATCATGTTCAAAACCAGCCTGGATCAGGAAAATCCCTGAGACTTTTAAGTGGTAGAGCACGAGACCCTGAGTTCAAGCCCTGGTGTTGACATGTGCGCGTGTGCGTGTGCACACACATACACACACACACACACACACACTACTCCCCCCACCCCCAAACACACGTTCAGTAGTGCTGGCCTAGCAGGAAGTAGCAGCTAGGTAAAGCTGACCAGAGGGAGGAGGGGCTTTCCTTTGTCACGTGTGTGGTGTGTGGCTGCCATTTCTCTTTTTGCTCACAAGGAGAAATGGAGAGGCATCCTGAGAACATAGAAAACCGATAGGGACATCTAAATTCTCTTGGGGAATTAGGGGAGGAGCAGGCTTAGCTGTCTGGGACTCTGTCTCTCCCTGAGATTTTCACCAATCCGGAAGAACACATGCCACAGAAGGGAACCCTCCTGAATGGACAAAGGGAACCTACCGCCAAACGCACACCTGGCTTGGGGGCACAAAACTCACACGAGTGAGCCCCAAACCAACACATCCTGCCAGTGCCCCCTGGAGACTGTAAAGTCACCAATGCAGCGTCAAAAGTGCCAAGTGTGCCTGAAGGTCACCTTCCTGTCCTGGCTCTGGCTTCAGTTTCCGGGTCTGTATCTTCTGCCCACAGATGTGTGATAAGAAAGGAAATGACTGCCAGGCTAGAGGGCAGGGTGGGGGATGTGAACTTGCTCTCTTCTTCCCCAAGTCCTGAGCACTCAGGGTGCACCCTGCAGTCCCTGGGGAAACTGAGGACACGTGCAGGGCAGACCAGAACATAGGTGGAAACACTGCCCATCTGGGACTGCCCTGCCCTGGTATTAGGGTCCTTGGTGAGGAAGGCTCTCTAACTGGAAGGGGGTGGGTGGGATTGCAGTCGTATGGAGGTGTTTGGGGGCTTTTGATAGGGAAGCACCGGGCACCTTAGAAGGTGCAGAAACTAAGACCTGTTCCCTCCTGCGCTCTCCCCGAAGTCCCGCTGAGCATCCGGGCGTCTGCTGGAGCCTCTCCTCCTTCCTCACATGGCTCAGTACTCTCTATACAGGCTCAGCAGACACGGGGCATTCGCCTGTGTGTGACTGTGTGTTCTTCCCCTTTTGAACTTTACCAGGATTCTTTATCAGTTTGGAAATCCCATTGTCACGCTGCCCTGGGCGTCCAGGTCTAACTTACCAGTGGGCCTGCTGGGTGACCTGTCTGTGGCTAAGTGCACACAGCTGCAGCCCCGCACGCCTTCAGTCTCAGGTGTGAAGAGGCGCACACACGCGGCCTTCCTGTTCTTCCTGAGGACCGAAATACTTGGGACCCAAAGCATTTCAGATTTGGGACTTTTTTGGGGGGAGGGAGGAGGAGGATACTTGCAAATATGTAATGAGCTACGCTAGGGCGGGGAGCCAAGCCTAAGCTTGAAGTTCGTTTTCGTATCACATGCCTGGTCCATACAGCTGGGGGGTAATTTTATGAAACAGGTATGGCACACCTGCATTTTGACTGGGACTCACCCCGAGAGGCTTGCAACATTATAGCGGGGTGGAGACATGAACAGTTTTAGGTTGTGGGGGACTCCTGATTTCCACACGGGGATGTTCTCTGTGTATTTCCTTGGGACATTTGGAATGAACTATTAGGTGAGGTATGATAACTGATTTCATTTCAAAGACATCGGTACAGAACAGGCTGGCGGTGACCAGGGACTGCTTCCTCCCCCATCTCCCCAGGCCTGGTGGAGCGGACTGGCCTCAAGCTTATGGACTGGCCAGCCAGAGCCGGAACAGGACGTGGGGGCTCCAGGAGGGCCGAGGATATATTTGCCCCACCAGCTTCCACAGGGAAGGGTGTACGCACAAGAGGAACCGGCCCCTTTTGCAAACACACAGAGCAATGCCACCTACTTCTGTACACACCTTTGTGGTTAGAGCAGTGAATTCTGGGTGCTTAATGAATGTGCTTTGTCCCAAAGCAATCAGTGGGCGGTGTCACATCCGGGAATATCAACAATGAAACTTATCAGCACACGCAGTGGAGTGAGAGCCTGTTCCTTGAGGAGAGCCAGCCCCATTGCTCTGGGGCTCCTCCTGCCCCATCGAGCAGGAATGGCTGGGCACACAGGGGACCAGTCCTCCCACCAGAAGGGAGCCCCACATGCAGTGTGGGTTTCCTGTATAACTTTTGTTTCCCACACCGCAAGTCACCAGATTTTATTAAATTGCCTGGCATCTTCAAAGCCGCCCAGTGCCTCTTGCCTCTCCTTTTCCCTCCAGCAAAAGCTGGCCTTTGCTCCCTAGAACAAAAACACTGTGGCTAAGGAAGGTGAGAGGAGGAAGAGATGAAGGATTTATAACAGGAGAGTCTGATATGGCAGTTCTCACGCTACAGACAGGTCACGACCCTCAAAGCAAACACCGGCTGAGCTTCCATTGTAGTTTCATCAAAATAGATGGGAAATCAAAAGGTGCGCAGTTTTAGAGTGGCTTTGGGTTCGCCGGGAGGGTGACCCTGAGTCTTGGGGCTCTTCCAGAGCTGGATGCGGCCATGTGGCCTGTGGGACCTCTCTACACCCCACTGAATCTTGTGCTAGCTCCAGACTTCTCCCCGGCTCTGTCCCTTTGCACCACCCACCCCCAGGAGCCAGAAGGAACCCCCATGTCAGACCATGACTTGTCTCCAAGGAAAACCATCCCCAGAGAGGCCTCCGTGAGTGACACCCATCCTCTCCTGAGCCTCGAGGCTTCCTATACACAGATCCCCTGGAGTGGAAATCAGGCATGTTTTATGTACATACACACTCACACACACTCACACTTTCCTATACATACATACCCAGCCCCCTCAGAGCCAGACTGTCTTTTGGCTGCTTTTTTTTTCTAGAATGTTCTAAACTATGCTAGTCCACATGGTACCCTCAAACCCAGCCAAGCCAGCTACATACAGGTCCATCACTTACCTCTCTGAGTCAAAGTAGGAGTCTATGTAGGAGTGGGGAGCGCCCGCCACGGCGAAGTTACTGCTTCCGGTGTCAACCAGAATCTGTAGCTTTTAAAGTTTCAGAAGAAAAAAAAAAAGAAAACAAACAGAAAGCCTCAGTTATTTGAACAAGGCAATAACTGCCAAAAACACTCATTTGGCAAAAGCCTTCTACTGATTTAGTTAGTGGGAAAGGCTGTTGTAAGATCTGACCTTCTCCTTAGCCCCTCCTCTCCAGACAGACGCAGTTGCGTGAAGTAACGGAGGTTTCCTTTCCCAGCTGCTGGCACAGGCAAACCAACCAAGGCCCTTCCTGTCACATCTGGGCTTTTGCTGGGGTGAAACCCTCCCTGGAGCACATTCTCACCTTCCATTCTTCCTGGAAAACCAGACCCGTGTGGCCTTCCTTGCTCAGGATCCTACCTAGCCTCCTTCTGGAAACTGGGGACCCCTAGGGTCCCCTCAGAGCACCTGACATCTGTCCTCGGATCATCGACCTAAGCTTTATGGAAGTAGATGCTTTGTCTGTTTGAAAACACAAGATCTTGTCTAGGACTGTGGCACATCTGTAATCTCAGCATTCAGGAGGTGGAGGTGGGAAGATGGCAAACGCAAAGCCAGCCTGGGCTACACAGCACAACCTTGTTTCAAAAAACCCCCAGGAAAAGCTGCAGGTTCTTGAACATGATTTGGATAGGGTATATTCTCAACTCAAGACATGGAAGCTTCTAGAATCTTTGAAAGGTCCCCATCCATGCCCCCCCCCTCTGACATCCATTACTAGATGGCTTCACGGGTTTATGAACTTTGAATACATGGAAGCAAGTGGTTCTGGTCTGTTCCTCCTGTTTGTTTGACTTCTTTTGCTCAGCTGGTGTTGAGATTCTGACACACGGTGTGCATCTGCCCATTCTCTCTTACCACTGAGTAGTATTCCTTTACATAAGAATCTCACCGTCTTTCCTGTCTGGGCTGGCTTTGAGCCACATCCTCAGTGCTCAGTTTTCTGAGTAGCTAGGGTTACAGGTGTGGGCCACCGGCACCTGCTTGTAGATGCCTTGTTTGTGGGTGGTGGTAGTCATGGGGCTTGAACTCTGGGCCTGGGCACTGTCCCTCAGCTCTTCAGCTCAAGACTAGTGTTCTACCACTTGAGCCACAGCGCTTTCCTGAGTGGTTTATTGGAGATAAGAGTCTCACGATTTTTCCTGCCCAGGCTGGCTCTGAACCTCGATCCTCAGATCTCAGCCTCCTGAGTAGCTAGGATGACAGGCGTGAGCCACCAGCACCCCGCTGCTTTTTTAGTTTTCTTAGAAACAACAAAAAAGCCATTGCTGAGCAGATGCACGCGTCACCTTTGACAGCCATGCACCAGTAGTCCATTGGCTCCATGAAATTTGGTGATATTAAACTCTTTTGTTTTAAGATTATTATCATTTTAGCCATCCCAGTGGGTATGGGATGGTATCTGAGTAGTCTGCACGTGTAGGTCCTTGGTGACTCATGACACCCAGCAGATGCCCTGTGTGGGGATTGGTGGTGTGTCTTCCCTGTTAACAGCGTGGACTGGTGGCATATCGTCCCTGTGAGCAAGCATCCACGGGGACAGAGTGGGTACCAGTCACTTAGTCCCAGCTTCTGCTTCTAGCCAGGTACGGGAAACCACTCAGGGAACAGGCATATCCTTAGAGATAAACATAGAATAGGAAGATACATCCCAGAACCTTGAAAACCAAGTCTAAGAGGTTATAGGCAAAGAGCCTGGCCCTGATGGCCCATACCTATAATCCTACCTATTCAGGAGGCTGAGATCTGAAGACTGAGGTTCGAAGCCAACCCAGAGGGATAAATCCAAGGGATTTTTATCTCCAATTAACCAGCTGGAAATGGAAATGTAGCTCAAATGGTCACTTTGTGTATAAAAGCTCAGGGGCAGCACCCAGGCACTGAGTTCAAGCCCTAGTACAACCATGAAAATGAACAAATAAATGAAAAAGAAAGGGAACTTGAAGAACAGGAAGTGTTTTCATGCGGCTTATTCACTGGTACTTGGGGCTCTTGCCAACGATCTCAGTTTGGTTACGTCTGGTGCTTTCAGTTCTTCTTTTGAGTTAGTAGCAGAGTTTGACTTGGCTTTCCCCTCTTCCTTCAGGCTTTGAGGTCCTCACTTTCCTCCTTCAGCTCCGATGCCCCATATTCTTCACACAGCTGGCTGCTTCTGTCTCCCCAACCCACTAGAGCCCCCAGGGTGCAGCCTGGAGTTGCTTCTATTCTGCCCACATTCTGGGTGGAGGGACTGGACCTTCCCCTGGCCAAGGCCCTCAGACTTTCAGCCATCACCTAGCCTGACTCACCCCCAGACCTGGCTCTTCCTGACCCACACCTCCATCCAGGTGTATCTCAGCCCTGGCATCAAGTCCAAGCCCTGTTTTTCTGACCGAGATGTTACTTAGAAAGGGGGTCTTTATAGAATTAATCAAGTTAAGATGAGCGTGGCTGGAGACCTAATATGGGGAACAAAGCACAGAGTGGGACAGCAGGTAGGCCCAGAGAGATGCAGCTGTGAGATGACAAGGCAGATAACAAGGTAGAAGAGGCGAGGTCGGCTCTCCTGCATCACAGGTGGCACCGATCTCAGCCCTCTGCCCTCCAGAGTTGGAAGAGAATAAACGTCTGTCATCGCAAGCGGCCCAGGAACCAAATCTACCGTGCCTGGTCTGAGCTGGGTAGGCCTGAGCTCCACTCCCTACATCTGCCCTGCCACTGGCGCCCCCCATCTCATCTTGGCACCAGACAGAAAGCGAAGGACCAGGAAGACAAAGAAAATGAGTCATTCGGGGTTATTTCGGGGAACTTTAGAACTTCAAGAATGTCTGTCTTCATAGGCACAGGACACTAGTCGCTCTCAAAACAAGGCGCGGTGCACACCCGCTGGAAACATTCTTCCTCGGTCATTAAAAGCCACAGATAACACAAAGTGACAGACGGATTCTTCTTGTGCCCTTGTCGGTCTCGGAAGCCGGTCGTCTCACAGGCGTTTCCTGGGTCTCCCTAGCAGCTATGCGCCCACCAGCCAAGACACCCATATGCAATGCCAGCCTGCACTGGCGCCCAGCTCTTCCCCCGGGCACTGCCAGACATCCCAGCATTCCAAACCACGCTGAGAATCCTGCACCGCCAGGACTGGCAAAGCAGCAACAGGACTATTGTCCCAAGCACAATGGCCCCAGCCACCGGCGACTTTCTCAGCAGATGTTTGCCCTCCCTTCTTGGGTCTGGAATTCTTTATGAACACCCTCATCTTTGAGTCTGTCCCTCACACTCTGTTGCTCCTCTGCGACTCCACAGGCCCCACAAACGCAGGGCATGTCGGATCCAACAGTCTGTGCTATTTGTCACCGACCACATCTTGTCACTGCGCAGACTTTTGCAGGGCTCTGCAGGCTGGCCATCCCAGGTGATTGTTCTAGTTAAGAATTGCAGAGAGACCATCCCAAAGAAACAAACAGCCTATGGTCAGCAAGGCCAGGCCAGGCCATGACAAGTGTCTGAGTAGTAGACAGATGCCCACAGCACTCCTGTGCTAGAAACAGACACTCATCATGCCCAGCTCTTGAGGCTACTGTCTACCCCGCGAGAGGGATCCGAGCCACAGAGGAAAGAAATTCCCCCATGCCCAACATGTCACAAGCTGTGCTGGAGCCTCAGGCTGTAGACTGTTCTTGGACCCCTCACCCCTGCCTGTGACCCGCTGCTCCTCCACCAGGGTGTTCCCTAATACGTCCCGCCCCTTTGGGTGCAACTTCCAGTGCAGGCATGCAAATAAATGGGCACAAACCCACATACCTATGTGCACTCTCCTACCCCTGCCACCCAGCGTCCTGTGTCCTCTCTGATTTCAGGAGTAAGCCTGGGCAGGCCCAGAGTGCCTGCATGTCAGGAAGCTCTCTGTAGCCCAAATAAATGATGGCTGGGGGATGAAATCCTGCTCCTCACCGCCAGGAAGCCAGACTCCAGGGTGCCCGGCACCGCCTGGTACCCCCCTCTTGTCCAACGGGATTAAAAGAACAGGGCCGGAAGGTGCATTCCTTTGGACCAGAAAGCCACCCTCACCAGAGGCTGTGCATGCTGGCAGCATAACCTGGGATTTCCAAGCCCCCAGAGGGTGAGAAATAAGCAGGATTCTGTTGTTTAGGAGCCACCTGCTCTGGGTATTTTGTTGTGGCAGCTGCAGTACACTAAGACATGCTCCCTCAAGCCAATGTCCCTTCACGCAGTTCCAGACAGGAACAAGCCCCAGACTGGCCTGAAGGGAAGAACCCCCAGCCTCGAAGGCAGAGGGAGGCGGAAGAGCCACAGGCCTGTGCCTGCCTGGCCCCAGACCCCGTCTATCCCCGTCCCCGTCCCTCCCCATCTCCAGCTGATGCACGGTGCAATAACCCTACGGAGAGCCATTTCCTAATTGGCACAATACGGTAGAAGGTGGTGATTCATCTCGTTAGTGATTAGCCTGAGATTTCTAGATATCACTGTCTTGTTTCCAGCAGGTTAATAGATAGGGAAAAGCAGCAGATAATTTAAATAATGGCTCATTTAACACAATGATCGCTAATTGCATTAGCAGCCATCTGCTGGATTCTGCCAACAGCCTGGCCCACTTCCACCGCCCTTCCCGCCGCCTTGGCCGTGTGGCTCTACAGCCAGGGATAGCGTGTGATTGACTGACTCTTCCAGTGCTCCCGGTCTGGAGATGAATCTCATCGACTCAGACGCATCTTGTTGAAGAAAACCAAAATAATTGCCACGCGTCCTTTCTCCAAGATCTAAAATTAAGGCTGTTTTTCTTTCTTATCAAGGAAGAAGGAGGAAAAAAAAAGAGATCACTTTCAAAGAACACCACTTAACCCAAACAGATGTCCCTCAGAAGTTGGCTAATAGGAAGCAGGCTGTCTGACTGATTCTGTCTGTGAGCATGCACAGGGGACACAGGCATGTCGGTACAGCAGCTGTTGGGGGTTGCGTGAGGGATGTGTGGACCCCCAGCTGCTCTGGGAACATGGTCATAGTTCCCCAGCCAGTGCCCGGCACCTGCAGGTGAGGCTGGAATGGACAGAGGGAGATCCAGGGCATGGGAAGGAGGTGCCTGCTTCAAGGCCCTCAGCGGCCTCTCAGAGCCCAAACCAGAATCTTCTGGACACAGAGCTGTTGCTGTCTGCTCACTGGTGGCGGGGAATCAATGGAAAGAAGGGTGCCTCATGGCAGTGGGGCTTTCTGTCGTTGTCTTTTGTGTAACAGTCCTTGGGTCTTGAACTCAGGGCCTGGGCACTGTCCCTGAGCTTTTATGCTCAAAGCTAGTGTTACATTTGAGTTACATTTGAGTTACATCTCTACTTCTGGAGTTTTGGTGGTGAATTGGAGATAAGAATTTCATGGACTGTTTTTTTTTTTTTTTATCAGTCATGGAGCTTGAACTTGGGGCCTGGGTGCTGTTCCTGAGCTCTTCTGCTCAAGGATAGTGCTCTACTACTTTAAGCCATAGCACCATTTCCTGTTTTCTGGTTGGTTAATTGGAGATAAGAGTCTCTCAGACTTTCCTGTCCAGGCTAGAATTACAGGCGTGAGCCACTGGTGCCTGGCCCTCACTGAGTTTTGAAACATTTTTCCTGGCTGTGAGGAGGGCAAAAGGTACATTTATTGGGTAGGTGGGATTTTATCCCCAAACCCGTAAGTAGACCGGCAACAGGTCCATTCAGAGAACTCACAGGGAGGCAGACTCGGGGTTGTCTTCTAGCTGCCAGCCCAGGATACACTCCCTTGAAAAGTGCTCCCCCAAGGAACAGAGTTGTATGGTAAAACAAGGGCTTCAGGTCTGGATTCGAATCCACCTCAACCAGCTGCTGGCAGTTGAACCGCTGAGCTCTCCATGGCTCTCCAAGCTCAGTGCCCTCCTGCCCGAGACGTGCAGGGTTGCTCTACGCAGCACACAGCTCACGTTCCTGTGCTACTCCTAGAAAAGCTTCATTTCTCTGACACTGAGTAAAAAAGGGGAATTGAGCAGACCCCACAAAGATGCCTTAAGTCGGTAGACAGACGCACGGGCTCCGAAGTGGAGGCTGAGGGAAACGAACATGGACCCGAGGGGCACAGACATCAGGGATTAGGTGGCCACTGGGCAGGGCAGGAGGGAGAGAGTGGGCATTGTGCCAGTGCTTGCCTAGTCCTGGGGTTGGAGATCCTTAATGGAACTCTGCTGTGGTCCAGCGCCTCTCCACCATTGCCCCGTGGCCCCAGCAGCTTCCTACCCAGAGTCCCGAGCCTAACATCCCACACACAGAATGCTTGCAGAGAGCCCTGTTGGATGTTTGGTGGATGAGTAGGTGGATAGATGGGCAGATGGATTGATGGATACACAGAAACAGAGATGGGTGGATACACAGACAGACGGACGGATGGACGGATACTGACAGGTGGATGGCTGGCTGAAACACGGCCATCAGCCTTGCTGAGGCATCGTGCCCCACAGACGCATTCCCAGTTAGTTTGAACTCTCAGGCCAGAATTCTCCGGGGTTACTGTCACCAGGGTTTTGACAAGAGCTGGGCTCACTGTGGAAGCGACTCCTTGGGTGATGGGGGACCAGGGGCGCCTGGGAGTGTGGGCAGAGTGGGGTGCCAGGCGGCCCCTCTGCTCCCTGTACCCCGCCCAGTCCTTGCCTTCTCCATTCCAACTGCTTCCCTTCCCCCACCCTGGGCCTGGCACCCACCCCAGACTGCTCCCCTGAGGGAAATGGGGATGTCAGGGAGAAAGAGAGAGAGAGGGAGCTGGAGGGAAAGAGGGAGAGAGGGAGAGGGAGAGAGGGAGAGGGAGAGGGGAGAGAGAGAGAGAGGGAGAGGGGAGAGAGAGAGAGAGGGAGAGAGAGAGGGAGAGGGAGGGGGGGAGAGAGAGAGAGAGGGAGAGGGGAGAGAGAGGGAGAAAGAGAGCGAGCGATCAAGTAAGTCAGACTCAGAGAAAGAAATAGTGCAAGTTTTTGCTCATATGTGGAAGTTAGATCTAAATTGTAAACATATATGAAAACATGTCCAAGATTATATGTATATATAAACAAGACTAGCAGATGGCATACTGGGATGAACTCCTCTGAACAACTACTACACAGTTTAATAAAATGAATACTAGGAAGCTGAAGCATGTCTTTTGTTGGGGGCAATGAGAAAGGGGTTAAATGGACAGAGAGAGGAAGGGCAGGAAAATAGGGTCATTATATTCAATATACGTATATAAAAGTGGCACTACACAATTTGAGAGTATGGCTGGGATTAAGATGGGGGAGAATGAGGGGAGGGGTGACATTACACTGTACTTAAATTCTGACTTATTGAAGTGAAACCCCTTTGTACAACCACTTAAAATTAAAAAAAAAAACAACAGAGATGACACCTGTACAACTCTGCACATATACCAAAAACCACTGGCTTATATACTCAGAGTGATATGTAATTGTATCTCAAGTTGTTCTTTTTTGTTGTTGTTGTTGGTTGTAGGGCTTGAACTCAGGGCCTGAGTGCTATTCCTGAGCCTCTTTGTGCTCAAGGTTAGCACTCTACCACTTGAGCCACAGTGCCACTTCTAGGTTTTGAGTGGTTAATTGAGATAAGAGTCTCATGGGGACTTTTCTACCCAGGCTGGCTTTGAACTGCAATCCTCAGAGCTCAGCCTCCTGAGTAGCTAGGATTATAGGTTTGAGCCCCCAGCGGCATCTGCTTGCCCTTCTTTCTGTCTTTGGATGCAGATTGGAAGGGGAGGGGGAAGGGAGTGGCTCTGGACCTGAACGTCAGGTACCATGAGCAGCTGGGCCCAGTCAATAAGCCTCAGGCCAGGCAGTGCCTGGGTGTGCTCCTGAAGATGAGTGGATGTTCCCCTCGCCTGGACCAGCGGCCCCTTGGCTTTTTAACCCTTGGGCTCCTTCTCAGGAGATCTGGGTCAGCAAGGATTGGGAGGAAGAGAAAAAGAACATGGGCATTCGCTCTCTCTTTTTCTCTCTCTGGTCCCCCTGGGGCAGTGGAGCTCCTCAAAGCCTCCCAAGTTCCCACTGTGCGGTCCTCCTGATTAAGGAATGAGGACAGACACTGAAACCATCAGTCATGTGCTGGTTCCAAGGCTGGACTTCCTTCACCCATGCCAATTAAAACAAAGATCATCTTCCCACAGGAAAAAAAATCCACACGAAACCTCGGTAAAGAAAGCAAACCCTTAAAGAAGACAGAAGCAGCTTTGTCCCCGGGGTGGGTGGCGTGACCAACCGACCGACCCACTGGGAGAACAGGTAGAAGCTATTTCTGCGTTGGAAGGAGGTAGGCTGCTGCTTAAC